GGCAAGGAGGCCTTCATCGAGTCCCTCGCCGAGAGCAGCACGCTGCGCCAGATCGACCTCTCCACCTCGCACGTGCCGCCCGACCTGCTGCACAAGCTGTGCGCGCGGCTCGCTTGTGGCGGCGAGGGCGTCGGATCCGAGTGGGAGGCCGAGTGGGAGTCGGCGTCGCACAGGGAGGGCGAGGGCTCGCGGCCGCAGGCGAGAGTAGCCGAGATCCGCCGAGATCCGCCGAGATCCGCCGAGATCCGCCGAGATCCGCCGAGATCCGCCGGGGCAGTCGGCGCTTCCTCCCACAGCCCTCGACGGGTGCGACGGCACTGTGGAGTGTCTTGGAAGTGTCTAGGAAGTGTCTAGGAAGTGTCTCTTCACCGGCCCTTGTCGGACCCTTCGTGGCCGCCCTGGCCGCCGCCCCTTCACCCCCCCCCCATCTCTTCGCGGCCGCAGGCAAACGGGCGGAGGCAGGGAGCGGGCGGGGGCGGGTCCCCGTTCCGAGCAGTCGCCCTGCCGGGCCGCAGCGGCGCGCGCTCGCGCGGCGGCGGCGACGCGTCGCGCGGCGGCGACGCGTCGCCGGCGCCTCCAGCGTCGCCCACGACGCCCTCCTCGCGGCACTCGAGCAGCAGCAGCCGCCGGGGCGAGCGGGGCTGGCGGGCAAAGATGGGCGGCGGCGGCGGCGGCGCAGTCGCGTCCGTCCGCCCCGCCCCAGCGGTAGCGCTGCCTCCGCGCGTCGCTCAGATCGAGGCCGTCTCGCTCGCCGGCAACGCTGTGCCCGGCTGCGGCGCCTCGCTCGCGCTGCTCCTCGAGCAGTGCGGCGCCCTCACCTCCCTTGACCTCTCGCGCACTTGCCTCACCGAGGCCGACGGCGCGCTCGTCCTTGCCTTGCCATCCTCGACGGCCTCGGGCTCGGGGGGGGTAGTGATCTCGGCTGATCTCAGGTCATCACACACACCTCTAGGCGCGCTCGTCCTTGCCGCCGTCGCCAGCCGGCACGCACGCGACGCGAGGCGCGCCGCCGAAGCGCAGCGGTCGACGCAGGGCGCGCGGCTGCCCGAGGGGTGGCCTGCCGCCCGCCACGCGCCGCCGGCCGGAGCGTCCGCGGAGGCGTCGAACGCTGCCAAGCCGCTGCAGTGCGTCGTACTCGACGTCGCGGCGGTGCCGCCGGAGGAGCGGGGGCGGCTGCCCGCCGCGGTTGCGGCGGTCGAGGGCGCCGCGCCCCGCCCGAGACGGCCCGAGATCACGCGAGATTGCCCGAGGTTCACCCCGAGATCCCTCGAGATGATAGGCGACGAGCTGCTCGACCGGGGCGAGATCCGCAAGGTGATGCGTGAGGTGGCGAAAGCGACCGCCGCCGAGGGCGCGAGCCAGACGCCGCTCGAGAGCCGCTTCAGCAGCTCGGCGACCCTCGCGCCACGCCGCCGGCCGCTTTCAAAAGCGGGGGGGGGGCGTCGCGAGCCAACGGCGGCGCGTCTGTGAGCAGGCATCCGACTTGGTGACCGGCACGCTGCTCGAGGCGGCGCACGGCCTGCAGCACTACATGCGCGTGAGCGAGGAGCACATCCGGCAGGGCGTCGCGATGGGCACCGCCGCCATCGAGGAGGAGGTGCGATCTCGGGCAGTCTCGCGCAATCGCGCGCAATCTCGGGTAATCTCGGGTACTCTCGGGGTGCGACGGCTTCCGCTGCTGCGTCGAGGTGCGCGCGCTGGGCGACGCCGAGGCGCTGTCGATGCTGCAGTACATCTTGCACGACCCGGCCTCGGAGAAGGAGTACCCCAACGGCACGCGCGACGCCGGCCGCAGCGGCGAGCGGCTCGCCGACTTCGTCGCGCACGCCGACGCGCAAAAGGCGATGCTCGACGAGCCGCACGTCGTATCTCGGGCAATCTCGGGCAATCTCGGGCAATCTCGGGTAATCTCGGGCAATCTCGGGTAAAAGGCGATGCTCGACGAGCCGCACGTCGTCGCGTTGCGGCTGTACACGACGGTGCCTCAGCCGCGGAGGCGCGGCGTTCTCAGCCGCCGTGGAGCTTTCTCGGACCCTTCCCGGAGCCCTCCCCGCAGGCGGCGTACCGGCACATCAACGGCCCGCTCCGCAAGCCGGAAGGTCCGCACCCGCTGGCGCGCACCACTTGGTTCATCTCGGAGGCCGTGCGCAAGCTGCGCGCGGTGCACGCCGACTCGACGACGGCGACCGAGACCGAGGACCTCTGGAGGGGCATGCGCAACATGCAGCTCTCGAGCGACTTCATCGACAACCGCACCGGCGGCACCGAGCTCGCGCCCATGTCCGCGACCACCGACATGACCGTCGCGGCGCGCTACGGCGCCTCGTCGGGCACGCTGCTCTTCAAGATCCGCGTCGACAACTCGCTCGTGCGCGGCGCGTCGCTGCAGTGGGTCTCCGCCTTCCCGCGCGAGGCGGAGGTGCTCTTCCCGCCGCTGACGTACGTCCAGCCCACCGACAAGCGGCAGACGCTGCTGGTGGGCGCGTGCAACTTCACTGTCATAGAGGTGGTGCCCAACCTGTCGTCGTGACGCATATTAGAGGTGTGCGGTGCCCCGGTGCCCTACCACAGCGAGCCGTACCGTGCCTGTACCGGTGTCGCATGATATGGTTCATGGAGTTGATGGGGGAGATGGGTTGTGATGCTCATGTACGAAGTACGAGATATGTACGATCTACGAGCGTACGAAACAAGGGTGTGACGTGTGTGTGTTGTGTAATCAAAAGTCAGTTCTGGACACTGTGGAGCGTCACATTAAGTACACCGACGGATCTGTAGACTGTACGGCTTTGCACATTGCAGAGCAGTGCGGCAGTGCCAGTGGAGCGGGGTGCAAGCACAAACAAGAGAGTGAGAGAGAGCGTACTGGATGACTGTACAGAGTTGTGCGGCACGGGGTAGAGATCATGTTATCTCTCTCAGACATGCGGAGCGCGCCGGCGGTACAGAACATGCCATGGGGGTGGGGCAGAGCTACTGTAGGGTTGAGCATGCCGCAGACGCGCAGAGCGGGCGATGAGAAAGGTGGGAATTTGCCGCGAGAGCCGCCGGCTAGCGCACCGCCGTCTCAACGCGTTGTGCATCCAAACGAAGCCACGACTGCTCTCCTGCTCCGACTGCAATCCAAGCGCTCGGCCGGTCCCGCGACACCCGCCTCATGGCTCTCCCCGCTGCACCACCTTGATCAAGTGATGGCCGAACTGCGTCTTGACCGGGCCTAAGATCGTGCCGAGCGGCTCGTCCTCCACGACTTTGAAGACGGCCTCGTCGAACGCCGGCACCATGGCGCCGCGCTTGAACTCGCCCAGGTCGCCACCGCGCTCGGCCGACTGGCAGGCGGAGAACTTCTCCGCCGCAAACTCAAACGTGAAGTCGCCGCCTTCGATCTTTGCCTTTAGCCCGTTCGCCATCGCCTCGGAGTCGGGCGAGCTCCCCTCCGGGTAGGCGTCGAAGGACAGCAGGATGTGGGACGCCCTCGCGATTCGGTCGTCTTTCGAGTAGCCCATGACCTTGCCCATCGCCTTCCCGCCAAAAGCACCCGAGACGCCGTCGGAGAGGCCGACGACTATGTTGTCGAGCAGCCCAGCCCGCGGAGCAGCGCAGCGCGGCGCTACTGTCACTGGCAGTATCGGAGGCGAGAAGGCGAGCGCGAGGCAAACGAGATGCATCGACTGCGGAGGCGATGAAGCGCACAGGAATATATGTACGAGGCCCTCTACCGGCGCCCTACCAGAGGAACAGCGTTGGCACCAAAAAAAGAAAAAATATTCATCCGGGCCGAGCCGTGCGATGACCAAGCTAGACCGTGGCCCTTTCCCTGGCAACGCCACAACACCGCGAACAGGTATCTCTCTCGTGGGGAAAGGGCGCGACCCGCTGCTGACATGCAGAAAGAGCCTTCGCCCTCTGGCCCTTACTAGGCCTGGCCCTTCTTCTTGTTGCACGGGCAGCATGCGCAGCATGCGAGGAAGATGGAGCAGTAGAGGATGGCGCCCACGACGAGGAGAAGGCCCACGGCACCGCCGACGGCTGCTCCCACGACCGCGCCGGTGTCGGTGACGCAGCAAACGTCGTTCGCGTTCGCCCAGAACGGTGAAAGGCACACTTCTTCGTCACGAAGGTAGGCGAGCATGGGATCGTTCGCCTTAGGCGTGTCGGCGAATTCATACCAGCAGTGCGACTTCTTCCAGAAGATCCCGCAGGAGCCGTGGTTCTACCGATGGGGAGGCGGTGCAGGAGTAAGAGTCGCGTACGGGAGTTTTGCCGAGGTGAGAGTCAACTTAGAGGG